ACAGTAATTGGTGACAAACATCTGCTTTTCATTCATATCAGATGTAATTTGCATTAAATGAACATACATCCATATTTACATCTAAATGATCAAAAGCATGCATATGAAATCCCTTAATAAGAGGCACAGGGTTGCTTTATGGGATATATTTCAAATAATTTGACAGTAATGCATTCATATATGCACTCAATCAAAATTGACAAAATCCTGAATGAGTTTTTCAGAAAGGCACAGCATGTCTCTGAATGGGTCCAACAGCCATGTTCTCTTCTGATATGAAGGCATATTAGTCGTCGGTGTTATCGCCTTTGGTAAGAGCTTGATGTTGTGAAATTGCCACCATATGTGTTGTTTTTGTCAGTGGCATAAACATGTTGAGAAATGAGAATTGTAAAACGGTGCACAGAAAAAGTGTGGACTGTTTATGTGAGTGTGTTTGGGGAGGACATGTCAAGTTTAGGCTTGTCAAGGAGTTTTTACTTTTTTCATAAATTTGAAAGTTTGACTTGAGAGAGATGTGAGATTTATTGGCTGGTTAAAGGGATTGCTTTATGCAAAGTGAAGCATCGTCCAAGGTGTCTTTAGAGTGGTTCTGAGGCAAACAAAAATTGGACAGAATACATACACTGTGTGTAATGTGTACACCAGCCATGAGTTATGTCAAAAGTGTTTAGTTGTTCTCATGTCCCAAGCATATTAAAAGGGTCTGTCGTAAATAGGAACATTAAGCTGATGCCTCAATGTCAAGTTTGATAAACACTGATAAAAAAAAACAACAGATTATTTTTTTAGTGTATTGCGAGGTTAACCTTTTCCTGATGCATGTTGTTTGCAGGATTCATCACATTCTGTAACCATGACTACCAGTGGTGATGGTTGAAAATGGGAGATCTCTTTTGCTCTTTTAACTTTGCATCTGTATTGTTTTTGAATAGGCAGTGATAGTACATCGTGAGAGTGAGTTGGGTGGCCTAGTGGAGAGTGTGTTCACTCACTATGGAGAAGACCTGGGTTTGATTCCCCTCATGGGTACAAATGATGCCGTGGATAACTGGAGGCATTGACACTGGACATTCATCTTGGATGATCGTTATTTTCGGAGATACGTACTTGTCATTACAATTAGACAAGAGGTCTTATTTAGTATGCATGATGTCCCTTACTTAGAAGGATCAGTGGGGAGTGTAGGTGTTGAAGTGTGACTATGCTCCATGGTATGGTGGCCTATACTGGCCATGTTCCTCCTAGGTCTACACATTGTGAGTAATACCAGGTGGGTTTTGTTTTTTTTTGTTAGTTGTTTAATGCTGCACTCAGCAATATTCCAGCTATATGACGGCGGTCTGTAAATAATTGGGCGGTCGGGTAGCCTAGTGGTTAAAGCGTTTGCTCGTCACGCTGAAGACCCGGGTTCGAATCCCGACATGGGTACAATGTGTGAAGCCCATTTCTGGTGTCCCCTGCCGTGATATTGCTGGAATATTGCTAAAAGCGGGGTAAAACCAAACTCACTCACTCTGTAAATAATCAAGTCTGGACCAGACAATCCAGTGATTAATATCATGAGCATCGATCCACGCAATTGGGATCGATGACATGCACCAACCAAGTCAGTGAGCCTGACCACCTGATCCTGTTAGTTGCCTTTTACCACTAGCATAGTAACCTTTTACGGCAAGCATGGGTTGCTGAAGACCTATTCTACGCCGGAATCTTCACGGGTCTATATATCAGAAGGGAAACTGAGACATGACTAATACCAAGTGGGAAACTGAGACATAACTGATACCAAGTGGGAAACTGAGACATAACTGATACCAAGTGGGAAACTGAGACATAACTGATACCAAGTGGGAAACTGAGACATAGCTGATACCAAGTGGGAAACTGAGACATAGCTGATACCAAGTGGGAAACTGAGACATAACTGATACCAAGTGGGAAACTGAGACATAACTGATACCAAGTGGGAAACTGAGACATAGCTGATACCAAGTGGGAAACTGAGACATAGCTGATACCAAGTGGGAAACTGAGACATAACTGATACCAAGTGGGAAACTGAGACATAACTGATACCAAGTGGGAAACTGAGACATAGCTGATACCAAGTGGGAAACTGAGACATAACTGATACCAAGTGGGAAACTGAGACATAACTGATACCAAGTGGGAAACTGAGACATAGCTGATACCAAGTGGGAAACTGAGACATAACTGATACCAAGTGGGAAACTGAGACAAAACTGATACCAAGTGGGAAACTGAGACATAACTGATACCAAGTGGGAAACTGAGACATAACTGATACCAAGTGGGAAACTGAGACATAGCTGATACCAAGTGGGAAACTGAGACATAACTGATACCAAGTGGGAAACTGAGACATAGCTGATACCAAGTGGGAAACTGAGACATGACTGATACCAGAAACTTGGGCACTGTGATTAATACCAACTGGGAAACCTAGACATTGTTGCTGTGTAGTGAGAGTAACCATTAAATGATAGATTGATGCACTTTATATACATGATATATAAACTTTGAATTTGCGGACAAAAGGTTGTATACGAGGGACTTAATCAAGTTTGCAAGGACTGGTAAACACCCTGCTGGGCGCACTGTGAGTGAGTTTATTTCAGTAAAGAGGCCACCGGCCCATTATACAATATGGATACAACAATAACCGGCGCCAGATAATATAAGGGGTATACATAGTGAAACAATTGAATTATTGCATACATTTGAAAAACTGTTGTCATTTCTTGAAAGCAAGAAAAATATATTTAGCTAATTTATTAATAACATGTTCATTTTGGCAAGACATACGAGTGCAAAATTTATCAAATGAAGGTTGTGAATGGTAATAATGCAAAACTTTGTTGGCCTGGAGTGTTAAAGTCTTCCGTGTATTAAACCATGAACCAGAGCTTGAAAAATGTACACCTAAATATTTATGCACTGAAACAATTTCAAGCGGACATGTATTTAGAGAAAACAATTCATATTTCTTCAATCAACCACCTTTGCGAAAGACAATTACTTTGCTCCTGACATTATTTATTTGCAGCTGCGATTTATCACAACAATTGGGAAAGTTTATTTAATATCTTTTGAAGACCAATAACTACTACAATGTCATCTGCAAAAAGCAGCATAAATATATGTAGAGTACCCTATATTAATACACCATTGCTTTATATCTTGTTTAAAAAAAATCTACAGTGTCATTAATAAAGAATGAAAATAAAAATGGTGACAACTCGCAACCCTGTCTAACTCCAAATGAACAGTCAAAGAATTTAGTAAATCCAGGATTCAGAGACACACATGATTTCACATTTTCATACGTATTTCTAAGTAATCTAAAAACAGAACCTTTAATATTACCAGTCCAAAGTCAGAGCATAATGTGACACAGAGTCAAAGGCTGCTTTTATATCAATAAAGGCACAGTATAGTCTACATTTATATAATCTTAGATATTTATCAATAATAGTTTGAAGTATAAATATAATATCCACAGTTTGAAACCCATTTCTAAAACCTGCTTGTTCAGGGATAATAACATTTCCATCAGTTGCCCAACTGGTGAGTCTAGTACATATAATTTTAGAAAAGATTTTACCAGATATTTCTTAAAAAGTAATAGGTCTGTAATTACCATGATTACTGTAGTGTCATATACATTACCCTTTTTATGCAAAGGAAGAATGACACCTAAAGTCCACTCCTCTGGATAAGTACTGCTGGGTGCACTGCTGTGGCTAAAAATGAAACAAAAAGGAAATGGGTCTTCAATGGTGATGTTTGAATACGGACATCATGGTTGTGTTTTGTAGGGCTGTTACGATTCACTCACGTAATCGGTGAATCGGACCGTATCCATTCATGAATTGAATTCGTTATTCGTGGCCACTAGAATTGAATATTTATGAATATGCAAGCATATGCATTTACATTAAAAAAATACCCATAAGAACATATTTTATGTATAGATTTCTTCATAAGACAACACTCTTATACTATTTAATTTGACAGTATTGTGGTCACTGGTCAATGTTGCATTTGAGCAGATACTAGTACCTGGATAAATGCTGTATATAAATGAATAATATATTTAAAAATATATTAAATATTAACAAACCATGTCAAATAATTTATGTTGTTGTTGCCTCACTGAACATGTTGAATATGACAAATGATACATCAACTGCTGAATTGTCATCATGGTTATTGTATTCGTGAATTATTATTCGTATTCGTTACCCTATATTCATGATACAAATCGTATTCACCTCATAGTGTATTCGTTGCAGCCCTAGTGTTTTGGACCTTTGGAGTTTAAGTTCGGCAAATGTTTTCAGCCTAGTAAGATTTTGATAATGATTGTAATTTTTTCTTCAAATCTAATTGTCAAGTGTGTACTAACTTTGTGGAGCAGTTTTCCTTGAAGCTGGTCCCCTAAAGCATTACAACATTACAAATTGGCACTAGTCCTGTAGTCCTTGTCAAACTGCCGAATAGCTTAGGTATCATAAGGACTAGTATAAATTGGCCATTTTTAAGGGTTTTGCTATATGTTATCATCATAAGGACTAGTGGACTAAAACTGTTAGTTTCTTCCACTGCATTGGCTACTCATGTTTGAGGGACTTTATACAATTTGCTTGAACCGCTGAATACCTTGAACCTGGACTCCTGTAACTGAAGCGTTGACTTATCCTGTGGACGACTCCCTACATGTGTCCCCTGTCGTGATACAGCTGGAATATTGCTAAACGCAGCGAGACACCACACTCAGCAGTGCTAAACATGGAGAAAGTAGGTAATATTGACATGTAGCGTAGCATCCCTGTACACAAGTCCTCTCACTCTGCACCAGGATATTTCTGTTAATGATTGCATGGAGAATGTTAATTACAGCTGTTTGGCACTCAATTATACAAGAATGTAGTGTTTGGATATTTTATTTCTGATACAATTTGTTTCATGTGCAGGGAATGGATTCTCAGAATTTGTCTGAACCAAAGTTTGAAGTTTGCTGTAAAAAGTTTTAACTGTTGGTAAGTACAACTTATATTTCTCTTCATGCACACACTCCATTTTATACAGACTGGAAGTCATAATGTTTTGTTGATTTATTGATGGTGGTAATTCGCGTTTAAAACAAAAGCTTCAAATTACTTTTTACTCTCCCGAAAATAAATAAGAGACCCAGCCAAACATGAAAAATTAGCATCGATTGTTGTCAGAAGATAATGTAATATGAGCAATAATACTGTTTTTTCTGTGCTGTTTGCAAACTTTTTTCACAGAAAGCATCTCCCCTAGAAAATCCACATTTGAGCATGTCCCTGACCTGAAATGTTTTTTGCCATATGTTTATCATTCATATGAACAGTAATAACTTTCATGATGATTTGTAAATATTCTCCACATGTCTTAAATATGCACAAGGGCTGTTATCATACCTTGTCCTTTGGTAATTGTATATCTTAGTGAAAACAGGAAAAATGACTTTCCAGCCCTCACCAAAACAGTTTTTAAATTCAAATGAATTCCAGCAAGTGTACTGTCATTGGGTGCAAAATACAAACTGAGCCAATTAAAACCATATTCAACAATAAATACATAAATAAATTTGTTCACTTCCGCTCAATTTCCGAAAAGAAAGTCTTTTTGTTAATAGTTACTGGCCAATATATGCCGCTTCTGTGCTTGTGTTTTCTGTAAACAGTCTGTAATATACACAAGAACATTATGGACTGTCATGTAAATTGCCTGTTTTTAGTAGGGGGTGCTTGTGAAGATTACTTACAGATTGGGGGGGGCATGGGTGGCCCAGTCGTCCAAGGTGCCGCGATTCGCTGTGCAGAGTTGCATCCCTTGGGCACACCAGAAACCTATGATTGTGGTTTCGAATCCTGGTTCACCCAAATTATGTTTCTAGGTTTGTCAGCACCATACCCGTGCTCATGGGTTTCACCGAAGTGGTAAACGTCCAAGACCTGCATCACTTCGGGCTTCCCTCCCACATTACGCTGATACGCCGTGAAATAACTGGAATACTGTTAAAAGCGGCGTTAAACCCAACTCACTCACTCACTTACAGATTGGTCTTGACTATGCTCAGAGGGTGCTTATTAGAGAGGGGTGCTTATAAGAGAGGGGTGCTTATTAGAGAAGGTTGCTAATTAGAGAGGGGTGCTAAAGGGCAAGTAAAATGAAAAAAATGATTGTGATTTGGTTATGAATATCAATTTTCCTACAGGTATTAAGTCAATTTCTGAGAGAAAAAAAATCATAACATTCAAAGGAAGTATTTTAATGTCCAAGTGAAACTGTTGAAGTTGAAGCTTCTAAATCAAACCTCTGAAACTATTTTTTATGACTGGCTTCCTGTTTGGGTACAATAAACCACCTGCTACTTTCGGTCCAATTCCTCACAATGAATGCATGTCAGGAATTATTCCCCTGAGAAGACAACTGTGGGCATCTTCTATGTTGTTGCTAACTCTTGGCATAAGTCGGGGACATGGTAATCAAACGGAGGAGCAAACAGAAAAGCCCTGTAATGCGATTAAAAAATTCTGAGGGGACAGCCGGCAGACTTGGCAATCGCCTGATCATTGAAATATTGCATCGTGACAAACAACGGAACCCGTTTTAACCCCAGTGGCGAATTTATTTGGCAGTCCTTTTTTTATTTTTTATCGTCTGTTTTACGCTATATCAGTTTTTCAAATTTGATTTTGGTCAAGCCTCTGTGATTCAGTATGCCCTAAAGCATTAAAATCTGTAAAGTTGCTATGTTCAGTTTACTTGTCCTTCGGTGAATATGGTATCTGTAACATTGAACAAGACCATGATGAATATTCTGCCTCCATAATGATATTAATGTTATGTCTGTGTTGAGGAACTGGAGTCAGCCCCCATGTACAGAGCACACAGTTATTCCCAAACAGATGTAACTGACGGCGCCGGTCTCGCAGTTGCGTTTCAGGGCCTGAATAAGCAAACTGGTGAAACATTTTTTCTAAACAGACAAAGACGGATAATTGTCAAATGGCTAATACTTCAGATTTAGCTGGGTCTATAATTGGTTTTCGGGAAAGTAAAAAAAATATTTGTAAAACATTTACCATGTACTCAAAGAGGCGAAAGACAGATGGTCTTTTTTTATGTAATGTCATCGCTAACATGTCTAACAGCTGTGTGCAGAGTCATCAAGTTGGCCAAATCTTGGTTGTCTCACTTCTACAGGAATAAAAAGCTTTGTTGAAATGATAATTAGCAAGTTTTAAGAAATTATTTCATCATCGTAACACATGCACGTAACATGTACCCACATCTTGTATATATCACGGTGTGAATCGACACGTATCATGTCACATTTGTTCATGTGAATGTGGAAGATCAAGTTGAAAGAAGAGAATTTTCTCCAAGACAAGAAATCTGATCAAGTCTGTGATTGTTGGAACTCTCACAACAACCTTAACAAGGTGCATGGATTTGGAGGTAAGAAAATTAAATATATATTATTTGAATGTAACATGTTCTTCTTATAAGTATATCTCCTAATATATGCCCATATAGTTGTGTTATATATTAGTGATGCAAGGGTTTTGTTTGTTTGCTTAAGTTCATGGTATGAGTTGATGAATACATCCTAACCTGAAGGAATCAAGATAAGTGAGTTCTTGCAGTATTGAAATGAACAGGAAGTTTGGGAAAGGGGAGGTAACTCTTGGTAGCTTGGTGATCCAGTGATCTGCAACATGTGCACAAAGTACTGGTTCTCTCAAGCAGAGATTGTATGACACTTCTCATGAAACACGTCGGCCGTCATTAGGTTGATCTGTGTGCTTATGAATTTATGTCTAGATTAGAAAATTACTCAGTCAGTTTCTTTTATTAAAAGTAAATCTTATCTTCGGTTTTAATTTGATTCTGAGGCTAAATTTGAAAGAAGTGAACTTTTTTATAAATACTGACACAGTGTAATGAAGATAACATTTGGACATCAAGCCCAAGCATGTGAAAAAAGGTTGAAGCATAAATGTTGATAAAAAACCATGTCACCATTGTTCTGAATTGATGAATATTTATATTGTCATTAGATCACTGTCATCGCTTGACATTTATGATGTCTCCAAAACACTTATTATGCAAAACAAATGTGCTGATCTCAAGGAGTTGAAACCGCAGCCGTGTAATATCAACTTTTGCTTCACTGCAGTTGAAAATCAGACTTGTTTCCTTTTTTTAACCGTTCAAATTTTCATAGTTCACTAACATCCTTATGGACCTTAATCAGATCAGTGAAGACTTACATTTCCATTCAGTAGTTCTGTTGTATGTTAAAACAAGTTTGATTGAGTGGAGCTTGAAACATGGTACTACTTGCCTGCTGACACATTGTAATATAGTGCCAACCAGAGATGGGTATTGGTCTGGGTTTGAGATAGCAATTTGTTGCAATAATGATTCATGTATTGTGATACATACCACAATATATGGCATGCGTTATTTCATCTGTAATTTGTTAGGAACATAAATAGAGAATCCTTTCTATGTACATTTTTAACAACTTTATAATCGTCTGCCATTTTGTTAGATGTTACTATGGTCACAAAGCATGGATAATGGACATATTATATGCAGGAGACTGGTTGTGAATAGCTTCACTTCTTCCATCACAGGAATCAGTTGCTAATTTCTTAATATCATTTTTCGACTTGTGTAAACTTTCTGAGGCAAGGTACTACTTGACTGATGACTGCTGCAGTTTGTGTAGTCAAAGGCCAGGTACTGCTTGACTAATGAAATACTGCTTTATAGTACCAACCAATCCACAGTTTGTGTAGTCAAAGGCCAGGTACTGCTTGACTAATGAAATACTGCTTTATAGTACCAACCAATCCACTGTTTGTGTAGTCAAAGGCCAGGTACTGCTTGACTGATGAAATACTGCTTTATTATGACTACTGCATTATAGTGCCAACCAATCCACAGTTTGTGTAGTCAAAGGCCAGGTACTGCTTGACTGATGAAATACTGCTTTATAGTACCAACCAATCCACAGTTTGTGTAGTCAAAGGCCAGGTACTGCTTGACTGATGAAATACTGCTTTATAGTACCAACCAATCCATAGTTTGTGTAGTCAAAGGCCAGGTACTGCTTGACTGATGAAATACTGCTTTATTATGACTACTGCATTATTGTGCCAACCAATCCACAGTTTGTTTAGGTTGAGGCATGGTATGAGTTCTTAAGTCCTACATGAAGGAAACAGAAAAATTAGTTCAAAGTAAAGTTTGACTGACAGTTTGTAAGATTCAAACTTTCATTTACAAGCTCATTCATGACAGCTCCACTTGAACAAAATTGTCAAGTAGTTTCAGGAAGTCCCCAGACATGAGATGTCGAGTCAGAGGTGGCTGCTAAGCTTGAAGCTGTCATTTACAAATTTAGTCTTGACAGCTTCATTGAGGAACACAGAGTGTTAAATGGGTGTTATGTATTTTATCAACTCACTCGACTACTATTTAGGAAAAAATATATTCCACAATCTATGATAGATAAGTTTTGGCCATGTGCTTTATATCTTATTTAGTTGTCCATCAGCAGAATAATTGTTCAATGTCTGGAATTTGTGTACTTTGACTATATACTCATGGAAAGAAATAAGTATACTGATATCATGCTAGTTGTTGTTGGACATGACATCTTTATCTTGCTCCATGTTCCCTTATTTTTTGCTGTCCGTATATTTCAGCAACAGTCGGTTATTTTCTTTGTTTATGACATTGGGTGTTCAACGACAGAAGTTTAAACATTTGACAAATTGATTTAACGTGGATTCTATGGTCAGTTCTGTCAAGTTTGATTAAAACACCGCAGTTTGCATGGGAGTCTCTGGAGGCATTTACACGTTGGATGTAACCATGACAAGGAGTATTATGGATAACAAGTTCTCTATTGATAAGGAAACAAACTTAGGACATACAGGATAGTTAAAAATGAAATAAAATTAGAACTCTATCTCAGTCACTGTAAAGT